AGAGTCAGGGGGGGAGAGGTAGAATCATAGAATCTCTGGAGATATTTAAGAGTGGTTTCGACAGACAGCTGTCAGGGACAATCTAGACCAGGGCTACTCTACACATGGCCCATGAGCCACACGGAGCCCGTGGCCTGTTTGTTTGCGGCCCGCGGTGCGGTTTGGGTTGACACGGGGCTCAACACGCAGACTACGGGTGGGATCCTTTGAATGTGGCCTCCACTGGGAACACGCCCTACAATGGCGAGGCCTCCCCCAGGCGGGGTGAGCACTGAAAGACGCAAGCGGACGGGCTGGTGGAACAGACGGGTACAGGGAGTCGGGGTTTCTAGCCCCCAGGGAGGAGATGCCGGGAGCGCCGGGGCATTGTGGGAAGTGAGGGCGGGTGCTGACTGTCTCCCACGGGCCACGTTTGGGTCCGGCGCTGTGGCTTAATCTTTGTATTCATGCCCGTCAGCGTGAAAGAATCTATTTGCATATATTTGCATGTATATACAACCACACTTAAATTGTGGCCCTCGGCATGTGCTGTGAGTATCATTGTGGCCCCTGGGGCTTCCAAAGTTGAGTAGCCCTGATCTAGATGGTTCTTGATCCTGCCGTGAGGGCAGGGAACTGGACTCGAGGTACCTTCTAGTTCTAGTGTTCTATGAAAAGAGGCAGAAGACACGGGGTTTATTCCAAAAAGCAGCTTCCAGGGTATGCCGTAGGGACCCTACAGACTCAGCCTAGTCTCCCACACTTCCTACATTGACAGTGATCACTGATGTTGATCAAGGGCACCCGGAGACGCTGCAGACCCTGAAGTGCCTTCTGACCCCTCAAAGACAGATTCAGTTCTGTTCACTCTAGTTTTAGCAGCAAGTGTATTTTTGTAACCCTGATGTGTGCCGTGCACCAGTGGCGCTGGGACTAGCTGTGGGGTGGGGGTGCAAAGCTGCCCCCCGTCCTCCATAGTTTTCTGCAAATGCTTTTAACTGAAAAGTTTTCCGTTAAAAGCATTTGTGGAAAAGCGCATCTAGATTGGCACGGACGCTTTTCCGGAAAAGCACTTTTTGCGGAAAAGCGTCTGTGGCCAATCTAGATGCGCTTTTCCACAAAAAAGCCCCGATCGTCATTTGCGCCATCGGGGCTTTTTGCGCAAAACAAATCTGGGCTGTCTACACTGGCCCTTTTGCGCAAAAGTCTTTTGGAAAAAGACTTTTGCCTGAACGGGAGCAGCATAGTTTTTCCTGAAAAGCACTGATGATTTTACAGTAGATCGTCAGTGCTTTTGCGGAAATTCAAGCGGCCAGTGTAGACAGCTGGCAAGTTTTTCCGCAAAAGCAGCTGCTTTTGTGGAAAAACTTGCCTGTCTAGTATCAGAGGGGTAGCCGTGTTAGTCTGAATCTGCAAAAGCGATTCAGACTTTTGCCTGTCTAGACACAGCTGTTGAGATTGGGTTGCTAACTCTCCCACGCTGGACAGACCAGACTCCATTGCTGCAAATGGAGCCTGGTCTGTCCAGTCTGGGATGCTAGTAACCCTCACTGCCCCATGCTGCAGAGCCCTGGGCTGGACATGGGACCCTCGGATTGGCAAGGCCAGCAGCCGGCAGAGCCCACGGGAGGGCTATTAGACCCCCTGGGGTGGGTGGATCCTGTGGCAGCCCCGGTGGGACCCCAGGGGGGTCAGTGGAACCCACGGCAGAACTCATAGGACCTCAGGAGGGGCTGCCCAGAGGCCAAGACCCAGGTGTAAAGGAGCCGGCCGTGGGGTTGGCCCCTAGGTTTGGGCCTCCACCTCTACTTCCTATGTCCATGCCATGCACTGCCCATGGAGCTATGTAGTGTTCGAAGATAACCTACAGCATAGAAAATATTACCTGTATACACCTACGTGCATCAAGAAACCAACCAATCGGCATTGCAGGGCTAATACTGGACTGCTGAGTGTTCCTGTGTACTGTTTTGTACTTTAGTCATTGTAGTGCCTTCTAATTCTATGAAAATTGGTAAAAGTATAAGAATGGCCAGACTGGGTCAGACCAAAGGTCTTCCAACAGTGGCCAATGCCAGGAGCCCCAGAAGCTGTGAACGGAACAGGGAATCATCAGGCAATCTCTCCCTTGTCATCCATTGCCAGCCTCTGACAAACAGAAGCTAGGGACACCATTCCTACCCCTCTTGGCTAGTTCTTTCTTGAACCCTGTTCAATCCTGGTCTTCACAACCTCCTCTGGCAAGGAGTTCCACAGGTTGTCTGTGCGCTGTGTGAAGAAACATGTCCTTTTGTTGGTTTTAAATCTGCTACCATTAATTTCATTTGGTGACCCCAAGTTCTTATGTTATAACTCTCAGTTGGCCAGAATATGTAGTTAACCGTCCCGTTCCCCCGCCAGCCATTGCTACCAACCTGCCAGATAACAGAATTGTATTGTGTTTAGAGTAACAAAGAGAAGGATAAATATATGATAATAGGTTCTTCAGTCTTGCAGAGAACAATTGAACTAGATTTAGCTGGAATATTAAGCTAGACAAATTCAGACTGGAAATAAGGCATACATTAGCATGTACTAACAGCATTGTGGTAAGCAAGATACAAGAAGTCATTCTTCCACTCTATTCTGCGCTGATTAGGCCTCAGCTGGCGTGTTGCATCCAGTTCTGGGCACCACATTTCAGGAAAGATGTGCACAAACTGGAGAAGGTCCAGAGAAGAGCAACACAAATGATTAAAGGTCTAGAAAGCATGAGCTAGGAGGGAAGACTGGAAGAATTGGGAAAAGAGAAGATTAAGAGGGAGCATGATGACAGCTTTCAAGTTCCTAAAAGGGAGTTACAAGAAGGAGGGTAAAAGGGTGTTACAAGAAGGAGGGGGGGTCCTAAAAGGGAGTTACAAGAAGGAGGGGGGGAAATTATTCTTGTTAACATTTGAGGACAGGACAAGAAGCAATGGCCTTACATTGCTGAAAGGGAGGTTTAGGTTGGACATTCGGAAAAACTACCTTCCAGGGTGGTTAAACACTGGAATAAATTGCCTGGGGAGATTGTGGAATCTCTATCACTGAGATATTTAGGAGCAGATCAGACAGACACCTGTCAGGGATGATGTAGATCAGTGTTTCTTAAACTATGTGTGCTGCGAGGCAGTCAGAGGTGTGCCGTGGAGAAGAACAGAATTTAAAATGGCCACCCTTAAAGGGGCAGGTGTTTTGTTTTTTTTCAATATCTTTCCCCCCGACTCTTTTTCCCCCAACGTTTTTTTTCCCCTCAACAAAAAATCCTTGGTGTTCCCCATTAAAAAAAAAAGATTGTTTGGTGTTCCTCAGTCTTAAAATGTTTAAGAAGCACTGATGTTGGTGGTACTTGGTGCTGCCGTGAGGGTAGGGGGCGGGGCTTGATGTCCTCTCGGGGCTCCTCCGTCCTGTTCTAGCACAGTTGTAAATCCGATCAAGTGACCAGTGGGCCAATCTAACCACAGTTGTGGTGGATTCTCCACCAAGGAAAAGTTTTAAATCAAGATTGGGTGTCTTTCTAGGGCACATCCCCTGCGGGGCAGTTCTCCGGCCTGGGTTAGATGGGAGGTCAGCCTGGATGATCACAATGGTCCCCGTCTGGCCTTGGGATTGAAAGTCTTTGAACAAGCAAGAGCCGGGGGCTGCCGAGGGGAGAGGAAAAAACTGCGGCCTTCTTTTGCTGTTCCCAGCCAAATCCCCATCTGCCTCAGAAATGAAAGAGGCTTGTTTCATTTCCTTCACCAACAAAGCTTACGATTGTGCACGTCACCCCGCCGGAAAGGGGAGGGCAGAGACACCCTGATACTCCAGGACATGGGCTCCCCTACGCCAGAGCCTGCAGCAGTCACTGGAAAGGATCCCATTTGGGACAGAGGAATTGGATCAGGCTGTGTGCTCGGAGTTCAGAACTCCTACAGCTTGCAATAAGGATCCTCCGGCCTTCCCCGTTTCTAACACCGGTCGCCTGCCTCATCCCGGTCTGCCGCTTGCCCCCGCTCCTGTGGGCTGGGAGTGAAGTTCTGCAGCCCACAAGAGATCCAGTCACCAGGATCTGCAAAGGCGCAGGGAAAGATACCGACGTTGGCCCGCCAGGGACTAATCCCAGGCCTGAAATGAGGCCATGCATTCATCCAGAGGTTTGCATCCCAGGCTCTCAGAGAGTGTCAGGAGGGCTAATTAAGCAAGCCGCACAGCACCCTAGCGTAGGAATGACCATCCTTGTATTGCAGATAGACCAACCGAGGGCAGTAAACGGATGTAGCAGCGCAATGGGCCAGTGTAGGCGGATGAACAGAGTGGGATATTATCAGTGTATTCCCCCTCACCCCCAACAAATATCGGTTGGCACTAATCAGCTCATTCTTTACACAGCCTGGCACCCAAATGGCAGGCCGATGGCTAGAAGAACTACTCAGGAAACGTTATTTCATTTCTTTGCAGGCTTACCCGTTTCTCAGGCCATCGGTGTTCTGCGGGATAAACTCGAGGCGTGCGAGCCTACGCTGAGCTCCTGCCAAGCGTGCGTCTTGTGGGAATACTTCCATAACACGCTCCTCAGGCACTACCAGCTCTATCAGTTTGTGCTGTGTCGGGAGAGAGAGGCCAAACAGACCTCTGTCCATCTAGAAATCTGCGTGCCACCGCAGCCCTTGCCGCTGATGGCCGGTGTCAACGCTGAAGTCTGGCAGTATCAGCAGCAGCTGGCAGCCTTGTCGGCTGCCGAGGCCCAGAAACGTACCAACATGCTGCTTCTTCGAGAGACACTACATCTGGAAAGAGAGCATGTGTTGCAGAGAACATATGATGATCTGAAATCACAAGCAGAGATCCTGGACAGACAGGTAACACTGCAGTCGCTGTACAGAAATGGGCATTTCATACTGAGAGGGATGCTGTGTATGCCATAGGTGAGGGTTTTACATTTCAGAAGGCCTGGGGTCTGCTTCTGACTCTGCCACTGATTCACTCTGCAACCTTGGTCATGTCACTTCACCAAAAGCATTTTCGGAAAAGAGCGTCTAGATTGGCACGGACGCTTTTCCGCAAAAGCACTTTTTGCAGAAAAGTGTCCGTGCCAATATAGACGCATTTTTGCGCAAAAAAGCCCCGATCGCCATTCTTGCGATCGGGGCTTTTTTGCGGAAAACAAATCTGAGCTGTCTACACTGGCCCTTTTGTGCAAAAGGACTTTTGCCCGAACGGGAGCAGCATAGTATTTCTGCAAAAAGCAGATTTCTTACAGTAGGAAGTCAGTGCTTTTGCGGAAATTCAAGCGGCCAGTGTAGACAGCTGGCAAGTTTTTCCGGAAAAGTGGCTGATTTTCCGGAAAAACTGCCCAGTCTAGACACAGCCCAGATGCCTTGATGGAAGAAATGAGGGTGTACTAAGTATGGGAATGCTGATTTCTAGCACTGATGTAGCACTTTTCATTGCTGGAGCTCAGAGGGCTCTACAAAGGAGGGCAAGGTCATTACCAGTGTTCCCTCTAATTTTTCCATTTGTGTGCAGAATAAATTTTGTTGTGTGCACCAAGGCCTGTATGAATGTGCACCACCTATAGAAAGATGCTGCTGGATGTGTGCGCACTGTTAATCATCTGGGCAGCACCTTAATCTTTTTCTGGGTGGCCTCCCACATGCTCTGCTTAGAGGGAACATGGGTTGTTATCCCCATTTCGCAGATGGGGAAAGTGAAGTGAAGCGCAGGACAGTGGCAGAGCCAGGACTAGACAGCAGGTTGCCTGACTCCCTGGGTAGTGCTCTGAAGAGGGAAGCAGTGGGGTGAGGGGCTGATTCAGTGAGCTCAGGAGGGCATTTTACCCAGGGGGCAATGGTGTTCGGGGAGGAGGGGAAGTGCACAGCACAGAAAAGCAAAGATACCAAAACACACCCTAGCACGGCCAGCTCGGGCGCAAAAGACACTTGCTCGCTTGGCGCCAATTCATATTCATGCCGATTTTTTGCCAGGCGCTGGTGTGCGAAGGGGATCCACACCTGCGGTGACAGAGACTGTATTTTACTTCCTGTGACTTTGTAATCTCAGCATGGAGTGGTACATATCACAGGGTCGCTAGGCCAGGCTGCCGTCTTGCTCCCTACCGCCATGTCTTCTGGAAAGGGGCATGCCCGGAGAACAGCCTCGGACCGTAGTCTGTGATCCGGACCTTGTGGGAGTTTTGCTGGAGGAAGGACTGCAGGGTTTGACTCTGTGTATTTAAACAAGCAGACGCTTTCCCCCCCACATTCCTGGTAACCCCACAGGGAACGACCGTCGTTTGGCAAAAGCGAATAGAAAAGTACGTGTCACCTCTGATGCTGCTTGTTCAGTCCTTCCTGAGCGTGGCGTCAACTCTCTTGCGCCCCTGCCCTCACGCAGTGTCGGGGGGTAGGGCGCCCCAAACCCGCCTTTCCCAAGCATCGCAGGTGGGAACTCAGCTGCATGACAGGAACTGCTTTAACAGGGTGTGACTCAGCGCACCAGCGCCTCCCACTGGCTGCTTGGGAATGAGCTCCGCTCGGCGCTGGAGCACCCCCTGCTGGACAGTGTCTCACCTACTGTTACCTGTTTATGCATGAATGGTTCTACCACCGTACACTGGAACCCGTGTCCTTCCCAGACGGTGGCGCCATCCCCTCGGGGAACTGCCCTGCCACAATGGCCCCCCACTCAGCAATCCTCCCCCTCAGGAAGCCCCCAACATCCACCTTGCCTCAGTAACCCACTGCCAGGCCTCATGTAGCCCCTTACCTCAGGGGCACCCTGCCGTCTGAAATGGCCACGTCTTCGGCAGGGGTGTGTAGACCTGCTGCCTTCTGCTGCCCTGGCTGCCTCCCTAGTACTCGTAGGCATTGCCTCAGGCTACCTGCCTTTCCCCAGCCTTGCTCTGCCTCAGGAAGCCTGTAGAGCAGCAGTTCCCAGCCTTTTACAGATGGGGACCCATTCTGACAATTCAGGAGGAGGCGGGAGGGCGGAGTCACCTGGGGAGACACCTGGCGACCCTTTTGAAATGTAATGGTGATCCATATTTGGGTCCCGACCCATAGGTTGGGAAACTCTGCTCTATAGCTTCCCTGGCAGCTAGGTCCTTCCGGCTCCACAGCTTGGAGGAAGAGTGAACGCCTCTCAGCCCTTGCAGCCTTTTAAAGGGCCCAGCCTGGCTCCGATTGGCTGACTGCTCCCTGCCCTCATTGGCCAGGGCTGCAGATGCTTCCTGAGACGGAGCAGAGTCTACCCCTCAGCCTCTCGTGGCTGGTTTGAACCCAGTGCGGGGCAGACGCCCCGTCGTGTGGCTTAACAGCGGCAAAGATCCTTCATCCACCACTTTCATTCCTAGTCCGTGTTCACCACAATCAGGTATTTGGGCGCAAGATCCTGTTGCTCTTCCACAAGCACTCAGCTCCTGAGATCACTAGGGCTACATCTGGACTGGCATGATTTTCCAGAAACGCTTTTAATGGAAAAGTTTTCCGTTAAAAGCATTTGCGGAAAAGAGCGTCTAGATTGGCACGGACGCTTTTCCACAAAAGCACTTTTTACGGAAAAGCATCTGTGGCCAATCTAGACGCGCTTTTGCGCAAAACAAATCTCAGCTGTCGACACTGGCCCTTTTGCGCAAAAGGGACTTTTGCCTGAACGGGAGCAGCATCGTATTTCTGCAAAAAGCCCTGATTTCAGACAGTAGGAAGTCAGTGCTTTTGCAGAAATTCAAGCAGCCAGTGTAGACAGCTGGCAAGTTTTTCTGGAAAAGCAGCTGATTTTCCAGAAAAACTGGCCAGTCTAGACACAGCCTGGGTGTCTGAGGGGTGCAAAAAATACCGAATCTCGGTCTTGCTGGCTGCATCGGGCTACCTCCAGCCTCATCCCATAACCCGCAGTGAAGAGTCTCTAACACCTGAGGGGAAAAACAAAAGAAACGAACCTGCCTCCGATTGCACAAAAGGGTTTCAGCCCCGGAGCAAATCGTTTTGGAAATTTTATGAAACTTTACTGAGGCCCTTTTGTGGTTGGGCCTTGTGGCATTAATGTGCCCTAACGCGCGGGTGGCAAATTGCCCTCCTGGCAGTGGCTGACAAGTTCACGTGAAGCCGTGAGGAGCAGGCTCCCAAATCACCTTTGGAACTCAGGCAAACAGCAGAAAAGAGCAACCCGGCAGGCCTAGCTCGGGGGCGGGGAACCTTCTTGGGGTCGGAGACCACAGACCCACAGAAAAGTCAGTCGGGAGCCACACAAAAGTGAGAAACGACAACAACAAAAACACCTCCCGGACATGGCGCCGGGCTGAGAAGCAGAAAGACACTCCCCACACAGCAGAGCCGGCGGGGGGCTGGGT